AATGGACATTTGTTTTTAGTTTGAGGCTCTCACAAATAAAGTGCTACAAAAATTCACATACAATTCTTTCCGTGGAAAGAATCTTTTGTTTCCCTTGGGCAAAATAATGAGGAATTGAGTCACTAGCTCAAATGGCAAGTTCATATTTAAATTTTTAAGAAACGGCCTGTTTTCCAGGTGGTTGTACTATTTTTGCATTTCCACTTGTACTAAATGAAAAGTCCAGATTTCCACATCCTCAGTAAGGGAAAGTCCTTTTAATTTTAGTTGTTCTAATGGGTTAGAGTGTTAGACACCACTAATGCGGTAACTCTTAGTGGTTTTAGTTTGCATTTGGCTGTATTTATACAGCTAATGTATTAAGCATTTTTCAGGTGTGTATTTGTCATTTGTATATCTTGTTTTGTAAAGCAATGGTTCAATCATTTTTGCCCATTTTTATTGTATTATTATATTTATGTTTTAAGAGTCTTTATGTATTCAGGATTCAAACCCTATATATGTTGTATTTTCTCTAATTCTATGGCTTACTTTTTGTTTCTCTAGTGGTATCTTTCAAAAAGCAAAAGAGATGAATTTTAATAAAATTCAATTATAATTTATTTTTCTTTCATGGCTCATGTTCTTTGTGTGCTATTTTAGAATCTTGCCTGCCTTAATATTGCAAAGATAATCTACTAGGTTTTCTCCTAGAAATTTTGTAGTTTTAGCTTTACATCTAGGAATGTTGCCCATTTCAGGTTAATTATTGTGTATGGTATTCAGTAAGGATCAATGCTTATTTGTTCCCCCCACCGAATGCAGACATTTCCAGTATTTCTGGCACCATTGGGAAGACTTTCCTTCCTCCATGGATAGCCGTGACATCTTCCTCAAAAATCAATCAATCATCTAGATGGACCTACTTATGGATTCTTTTTTCCAACCATTGATATGTCTGTCTTTTCACCCACTGCTAATATGTTGATCCTTTTAATCTTGTACTCTGTGACCTTGTTAACTTCATTTTTTCCAGTTTTTCCCCCGGCTTTATTGAGATATAATTAACAAATTAAAATTATATATATTTAGGATATATAACATTTTGATATACATAAACATTGTGAAATGATTACTATAATCAAGCTAATAAGCATATCTATCACTTCACATAGTTACCTTTTGTGTGTGGGGGGTGGGGTGAAAATATTTAAGAACTATACCCTTAGCAAAGTTCAAGTATACAATATCTGGTAGTTTTGTAGTTTCATTAGAGTTCTCTATATCAATAATTATATGAAATGCAAAATGTAGATAGTTTTACTTTTTCCTTTCCAATCTGTATGCCCCTTCCTTCCTTCCTTCCTTCCTTCCTTTCTTCTTTCTTTCTCTTTCTTTCTTTCTCTTTCTTTTCTTTCCTTTTTCTTTTCTTTCTTTCTCTTTCTTCTTTCTTTCTTTCTTTTTTCTTTTCTTTCTTTTCTTTTTATTCTTCCTATTTTCTTTTCATTTTATTTCTTTTTTCTTTTCATTTTATTTTTCTTTTTCTTGCCATATTCCAATGACTAGGACCTGCAGTACAATGTTTAAGATAAGTGGTAAAAAAAGCAGGCATCCTTGCCTTTTTTCCACTATCAGTAGGGAAAGCATTAGTCTTTCACCATTAATTATATTAACTGAAAGCTTTTCATAAATGCTCGTTATCAGAAATGATGAAGTTTTCTATGATTCCCAGTTTGCTTAATGTTTTTATCATGAAAAGGTGCTGAATTTTGTAAAGTGATTTTTTCATGTACTAAAATTATCATATAATTACTCTCCCTTTATTATGTGTATATGGTGAATTACATTAGTTGATTTTCTAATGATAAACCAACCTTACATGCCTAGGATAAATCCAAATTTTCCATAATTCTACCACAACTTTAAACACCTTTTTGTGTGCAGGGGAAAAGAAATATATTTCTTTCCCATCTTAGGTTCATGGCTGAAGCCCCTATAATAAAAGATAGATTAATAAAAGACTAATATACACATTTCTTTAATATAAGTTGTATGTAGCATAGGAGCCTTTATAAGAACATTAAGACCTGAAGAGATAGGTAAAGCTGTGTATTTTTTAATGCTAGTTTTGATGAATATGTGGATAGTTGTGAAGAAGTATATTGGAGAAATGGAGTATGAGCTAATGTTAACAAAGTTGGGGGAAATTAGCAAGCCCTGTTGGTTCTGTATCCCTGTGTCTTCCCAGATAGGGATATTCCTTTCCTGTGGGTATAAGGAGGACACCTCTTGAATGAGGGTCATATAGGGGAAAGTTTAAAAAATAAACTCGTGCTAGATTTTATGACCTGCTTCAAGGGAGAAGGACAGAAAGTAAGGGTTGCCTTCCTGCTTCTGCTGTTTTCTCAAATGCCACGGTGCCATGTTTTGGGATAGCATGTCATGGGGTAGTATAGACTTTAATAATAAATCCATTAATATTATTACCTAAATCTTTATTGCCTCCTTAATATTTTCCACCAAAAAATAGGAAGGAAGGGAGACAAGAAGGAAGTTATAAAGATTGCAATATTAGTTGGGGGACTTTTCAGTTCTGGGTAGATAGAGTAACTACTTGGATATTGACAAGGATTCTGTATTTATTTGCAGGTCAGAAGAGAGGTAGAGATGTTCAAAGTAAAGAAACATGAATGAATTTGAGAAGCTGTGTGTGTGTGTCTGTGTTCCTCTTAATTTTATAACTCTTTTTACAAATTTAGAGTAAAAGCTTAGCAGATTTATTTTATTGTCAATTTGAATCCAAGGAAAAGCAGCAGAAAAAAATCTGTTGACTGACCAAAACAATACATACACTATGGATAATATTGTCATAAACAATCAGATAAAAACTATTGGTCTGGCGCCAGGGGCTCACGCCTGTAATCCCAGCACTTTGGGAGGCTGAGGCGGGTGTATCACCTGAGGTCAGGAGTTCGAGACCAGCCTGGCCAACATGGCAAAACCCCATCTCTACTAAAAATACAAAAACATTAGCTGGGCATGGTTAGCGGGCGTCTGTAATCCCAGCAACTTGGGAAGCTGAGGCAGAAGAATCTCTTAAACCTAGGTGGTGGAGGTTGCAGTGAGCCGAGATTGCACCTTTGCACTCCAGACTGGTCAACGAGAGCAAAACTCTGTCTCAAAACAACAACAATAACAGCAACAGCAACAACAAAAAAAAAACCCAGAAAACAAAAAACACCACAAAACCCAAAACACTACTTAATTTATTTATGCATAATTTTAATATAAAAAGAAATAAAACCAAATAATTCCACAATGTAGCATCAATTTTCTTTATGGTAAGGCATATTATAAGCAATTATTTGAAAGATATACTACAGCAATTGTTTAAACATTTCATAAAGATAATTTGTAACGACATATGTAATCATGGTAGAATTAAGTTTCTTTTCTTTTCCTGACTTCATGTATGAATTTCAGAACCACCTCAGACCTTGCTATCCAATAAATTCAAGAGTACAATTAGAAGTACATTTATTTAGAATAAAACTGAACTAGTGTTTGTTTTCCCGTATTTCCTCTGGAGTACTCTTTTAGCTGAATAAATATTATTCCCCCTTGTAATGTTGCTTTCTCACTGAGAAGTGTTTTTTTTTTTTTTCAAAAAAAAAAAACATTTCAAATGATAATTTTATGATAGTGGATATAGGAAACAATCCATATGTGACACATAAATGATGAGGCTGATGGTATTATAAAGACACATTTATATTTGAAGAATTCGGACTTTTGGGGGTCTCTGAAATGGCTTATTTATTCTCAGGAAATCCAAAGATTTCCAGAGTGAGCCTGAAGATGTCATGAACAGGTCTCATCTGTAGTATGTTCCACTGTAACTGCCCAGTGTGTTTATCTTGCCCTCTGCCTACACAGAGCTAATTTATCATGGCAGGGGGGTTGCAATAGAGAAAGAGTTCAATGCACCTAAAGCTGGCTCAAATCAGCCTCCCTGAAAACTCAGAGGCTAGGGTTTTTCAAGTACAGTTTGGTGGGCAGGGGGCTTGGGGGAATGGGAAATGCTGACTAGTCAGGGACGCAATCATAGGAGTGCGGAAAATGGTCCTCCTGCGCTAAGTCCGCTTTTGGGTGGGAGCCACAGAGGAGTTGCTTGTCCAGGTGGGGCCATCTGGTCATCAGAAGTGCAGAAGCGGACTGGGTGTGGTGGCTCATGCCTGTGATTCCAGCACTTTGGGAGGCCAAGGCAGTTGGATCACCTGAGGCCAGGAGTTCGAGACCAACCTGGCCAATATGGCAAAACCCCATCTCTACTAACAATACGAAAATTACCTGGGCATGGTAGTGAGTGCCTGTAATCCCAGCTACTTGGGAGGCTGAGGCAGGAGAATCATTTAGTTTTGGGAAGGGCTACTATAATTTAACCTATAAAGTAAATTTCTCCCAAAGTTAGCTTGGCCCACACTCAGGAATGACCAAGGGCAGTTTGGAGGCAAGATAGATAGTTAGGTCAGATCTCTTTCACTGTCGTACTTTTCTCACTGTTATCATTTTTGCATAGGTGGTTTCACCACTGTATTTCCATGTTCAAAAATGAGTATCGTGAAATCAAAATAAAAACCAGCAGTGTCTTTCCACTTTTGACCCTAGAATAAGTTTTTCTTATTCTAAGATCATCAAGATTGTTAGGTCAGTTAAATAAGCCCATTCCAAAATCTGAAATTTATTACAATCCAGCATGATGAATGAGGTATTAAAGGAATCTGGTCTCTTAGTAAAAGACGGATTCTCTTACTACACTGCAAATATTTAAAGCAGGATTCATGGTCCTAATTTTCCTACAAGTGTGCCTGAAAATGTATCACTAAGAAATTCTTCAATGTGACATAAAGTCATAAATAATAAATGTATGATAAACAGATTTTTAGCAGGGAAATTTATCTCAACTGAGTTCTCACAATGGTAGTCCAACTGGTGAAAGATCAACTTATTTCGGCAAAATATTGATTTTATCAGTATTTGTTATTTCTTACTGTCATCCACAAAATAACACAGGCAGACATCCAGGAAGCTATGTGTTGATTAAAGTGGCAAAAACAGAGAGATTTCTATAGCTGGGAAATTTCTTAGACCACCATGTGAGCAAGTAGAATGAATATCAATAGCCAAGTCAAAAGGCTCAAATTTTTGCTTCACAGTTAGCAGCTGGGCAAATTACTCAACCACTCTCAGTATCTTCCTCTGTAAAACAGAAATGATATGATCTGCTTCTGAGGGTTTTGGGGAAGATAAAAGGAATTAATGCAAGTAAAGTGCTTAGTCTTGTTCCTGGCATAGGGTAACTATGCCCTAAATGTTAACAGATAAATATACCTTCAAAATAAGCAAGCAATAAAAATGTTTTCAAAGATACCATGAAGCATAAAACTCACATACAGTTACACAACAATTCAAGGATTACAGTACTTTGATAAATTTATAAATACATTATATCATCTCATTTTTATATATCTTCAAATACTTTATAGACAATACTGATATTTCACATTCCACTATGAAAGCGTCAGCATCTTTCCTGAGCAAATATTTAAAGTTACACACTAGAGGGGAAGATCAAAGGCCTAAAGGAAATTCATCCTTTAGGGGGACCAAGGTCTCTCATTATACATTTAATTGAAGTTTGTTCTTTCCCGACTGTATGTCTGCATTTCTGCAAGTCAGATTTGGTCTATTCACTGCAATCACAAACTCCACCTACAAAGAAGGCATGTATCAGAATTTAAGCAAACTTTCACAAAAACACGAGATCTATCATTCCAATTCATGAATTCAGATTCTTTCTGGCTGCAGACAGCAGTCATTATTCCTTTGAGCCTATAATAAATGTTTTCATGGAAGTATGGGCTAACAGCATTATTTTTCTACCCCCCCATACTTTATTTAGATACTATTAATAAATATCAAGAAGAAAGTCACAAAGGTAGAGGACGCCATGTGCATCCCTGTGTGTTTATGTGTACAGGTTACCTCTAGAAACCAATTTTTAATCCCAGAACTACCGAAGAACAGTCATTCTCTGATGTGTGGTGAGGCAGCCATGACTCTCAACTTCAGAGGGGCATATGGGTTGGGGAATTAGCTAAAAGAAATCCACTCTTTCTCCTGTCCGTAATTCAGTTGAGTATAATTCTCCAAGAAACAATGGATCAGGAGATGAACTCATGTCATTGTAAGATTTTTCTTATCATCCAAAAGTCAGTTTTCAAATATGTATGCTCATTCATACATATATATGCCCTTCATACATATATATGCAGGAAATGTATGTTCATTCATACATATATACTCTCCCTTCTATTTATACTCTTAAAAACCACTATCAAAAAAGTCAGAGTTGATAACCTTAAAACAGTCCCCGTAGAAAAAAATCTGAAAACAAGATTCAGATTTGTGTTTTTTTAATTTAAAGCAGAATCCGTCTTCCATCACGGGAAGGCACCTGGTTTCTTCACCTACTTGGTAAGTTTTGAAGAGTCCATCCGTTAAATATATATTTGTTTGATTTTCTGAAATGTCATCTTCTTGCAAAGCCATTGGTATATAATAAGTTCCATTTAAATAATGGCATTGTGCCATTTTAACATGAAATTTGTGCTGTGTTTCAGAGAATAAATAAGACTCACGCAGTCTTTCTAAATCAGATCTTCAGCCAGCCAGTTCATTTCCGTAACCTAATCAACATTAAATAAGGGGAAACACCTTCGGTCTTCAATTCACTGTAGAAAAGACAACATGATGATCAAAATGCAGAATGTTAAACTCTAGTGATCATGGCTGGACCACCATACTCAACTACCACAATACTATTTGTCTATAAGTTTTATGTGTACATAATTTTCTAATTTCAGTCTTAACAGTTATCTTTATACTCAAATCTCTCTAGAGTTAATTCCATTGTATATTTGTAAAGCCAGATTTACAAAACCAAACTACCACTTACATTTTTCAAGCAACCAATGGGCCATATTTTATTCTGCAAATGTGAGTCCTGCCTTTATATCAGGGGTGCCCAGCCCCTGGGCCAGGGACTGGTACCACTCTATGGCCTGTTAGGCATGGGACTACACAGCAGGAAGTGAGTAGTGGGCAAGAGAGCAAAGCTTCATCTGTATTTACAGCCACTCCCTATCGCTCACATTACCTCCTGAGCTCACCTCCTGTCAGATCAGCAATGGCATTAGAGTCTCATAGGTGCGCGAACCCCATTGTGAACTGTGCATGTGATGGATCTAGGTTGCACACTTCTTATGAGAATCTAATGCCTGAATATCTGTCTCACCCCCGGATAGGACCAGCCAGTTGCAGGAAAACAAGCTCAGGGCTCCCACTGATTCTACATTACAGTGAGTTTATAATTATTTTATTATATATTACAATGTAATAAAAATAGAAATCAATGTAATGCACTGGAGGCACCCCAAAACCATCCTCTCCACCCTGGTCCATGGAAAAACTGTCTTCCATGAAACTGGGCCCTGGTGCCTAAAAGGTCGGGGACTGCTGCTTTATATCATTGACACAAGAATTTCTATCAAAAATCACAGAACAAAGGGGCCATTCAGTCTCGTTTCACCACTGCAGTTAGGAAATTTCCCCCATTTGGCCTTTCCCAAGTCACAGGGAGAAGAAAAAGAACAGTAAACCTTTAACTATTAATTAGTTAAATGCTAATTAATAGCTGTAGCTAAAGAGTTGGCAAAAGAAGTCATTCTCTACAACATGACCCCTATATACCAGCCAGAGTGCCAGCATTCAATACTAGAGTAGTTACCATATGAAGATAACCAGCTGTTTCTTTGTCTGCTCCATTCTGGCCCCATTACCTCCAGGTCCAAGCAGCTATGATTGGCCATAGTGCTTCACCACTCCAATGGGAATGGTACAGATGGAAGGCAGCAAAATATTAGCCATCCTTCCTTCCCTTGGAATGTCACGCTTGCTCTCCTAGTCCAAACCTTTCACATCTTCCCCAACTGAAGTGACTCCACTCTCCCTGTTTCTGAAATGTAGGCATTTCATCTCCTCCTGGGAAACCTCTGGGGCTCCATTTCTTTTCTTTCCTAGAAGTTGCAGGGCTAGTGGCCAAAAAGCTTATAACAAGCATCTGTAGGCCAAAAGATTTTAGAGGACTTGAATCCTAATAGTTTCATTTCTAGTCTCTAATTACGTACATCATTAGCAAAATGAAATACTGTTTCAGACAGTTTTAAAGAGAGAGAAGAATCTTCCTGCATTCCTAGACTGATGCTAATCACAGTGGGTCTGATTTTTTCCACCTCTGGCACTGGGCTGAAGAGAGTTTTAGAAAATGAGATTCTTCCCAAGAGAGACTAGCTTGAGAAATTCAAAAGTTGCTAGAAGAGGAAGTTTTTAATCACTTTTTAAATGATACATGTAATTAGAAACTATGTTTTCTTTTAAATGATAATTTCATGGGGTTTGTGGAAATGAGATTTGAGCCCAGATTCTGATTCTGCCAACAACCACAACAAAAATTTAACTTAAAAAAAATGACTTAGTTGGTTTCAACCATCATTTCAATTTCTTTAACAGGTCGTCATCATCACTTGAAATCATTCATTATTAGATAGTTGTTGAAGAACCTTGTCCTTAGCAATGCAGGAAATTAAAAAGAACTATTCTTGCCCTGGTGATATTTATATTAATAATTTATTAGAGTTGACAACATAGCAGTTTCAATAAATGCCAACAATTAAAGATTAAAATGTCCATCAATGGCATAAAAATAGAGCAACAGAAGAGGAAAGACAATAAAGGAGATGATCTATAATGTCTAGGTGTTGGAGTTGAGATTGGGCTTGTTTTGGGGCAAAGAAGAAAAAAGAGATATCTAAATTTGTTCATTAATTTATTTAGTATTTCTGCGTTAGGCTTTGAGGATTAAATGATGAACAAGATTAACACAGTTCTGAACAGAAACTGAGGGACAGACAGTAAACAAATGATTACATAAGTAGTGACATACTGGAATCTTTCTTCAGTGGGTTGAATGTCAAACATGTTCAATATAGGTTGTGAAGACGGGGTGGAAGAAGACAAAGACCTTACCTTGTAGAGACAGCCTTAGATACCTTTGTCCTAGGAGTTTCAGATGAAAGCGCTACCTGGGTTTTTAGTTCTTTATTCTAAAATTGAAAAAAATGCAGACATCAAGTAACTAACACATTTATTAGCTACACCCTGAATGCTTCTATTCAACCCAACACCTGCCTCACTCCTTGGCAGTAAGTTTGTTATTGCAGTTATACTATAGAACAAAGAAAATAGACAGCTGAAAGTCACTAAATATTATCTCTGAAGATGCAGATACTCCCTGAAAATGTATAATTTACAAAGTGACTAAAATATAGTATTCTGATTTAGCATCTGAAATTCAACAGCTGAAGGATCTATATTTTATTTTACAGAGTTTTAAAAATACAGACAAATGAAAAGAACTTTTAGGGAACCTTGTTAAAGATACCCATAATATCGATCACATGTTCGTCTTCCTTTTGCAATCTCTTGATTATAAACCCCATGAAAATAGGTCCCATCTGCTCTTTACTATTAATGTAAGTTCATGGCCTCTATAGCCTCAATTTTCTTATGAAGCCTTAGTTTCTTCATATCTATACTAGCGGTAAATGATACACGTACTGCCTACTTTGTGTAAATTGTTGGAAGAAACAAGTGTCGTATGAACATAATATTTTACATCTGGAATCACTCTCATAATTCTGGGAGTTCATGCAACAGCTAAGAACAGGAGTAATGGTTAGAGCACAAGTTCTCACGTACAAATCCTAGCACGGTCACTCACTGGTTATGTGACCTCATTTAGGTTACTTAACCTCTCTGTGCCTAATTTCCTCAACTGTATTACAGATATAATAATAATAACACCTACTTCACAGATTTGAAATGAGATAAAAAATATGTCAAGTGCTCAACTAGTGCCTGGCACAGATTTTAAGACGTAAAGGCAGTTGGTTATGATTTTCTAGTCCAAGTGCCTTTTTTTATTTGTTTTTAGGCACCATCTGGCTCCGTCACCCAGGCTGGATACAGTGGCACTATCTCAGCTCACTTCAACCTCCACTTCCCGAGCTCCAACCTGCCTCCCACTCAGTCTTCCGAATAGTTGGGACCACAGGTAAGCGCCACTATGCCTGGCTAATTTTTGTATTTTTGGTAGAGACAGGTTTCACCATGTTGTTCACACTGGTCTTAAACTCTTGGACTTGACTGATCCACCTGTCTCAGCCTCCCAAAGTGCTGGGATTGTAGGTGTGAGCCACCGTGCTCAGCCTCAAGTACTATTTTTATAACTACAAATTGAATTCCAAAGACTTCCAGTGCCCCACATCCTATTCATGCAGAGCTCAATGCCAAGCTGTGTCCTCCCGTCCAGAGCCAGTGTTTTCTCTACAACATAGTCAAGCGAGCAATTTCACTTCCCAGATCTGGAAAGTGAGACTTAAAACAGTGAAGGATCATGAGCAATGCGGAGTTGCCAGTGGGTTGCACTGTCGGGTCAGGGGTCTTTAAAGGACACACTCATATAAAAGTGTCTGGGACCAAAAGGTAGCTGGATGGAACGATGACAGGTGATGAACAGCAGCACACCAGCTCCCTTCCCTTTCTAGGAACACAGACGTAGAGAGTCATGTAATTACAGTTTAAAAGGTATTTTTCTTTTTCTTTTCTTTTCTTTCTTTTTTTTTTTGAGACAGGGTCTCACTCTGTCACCCAGGCTGGAGTGCAGTGGTGCAATCTCAGTGTTACAGGGTGTAATTTTTTCTGGCCGGAAACCTTTGAGGCCAGCGGCGCCTTTGCCAAAGTTTTACTTGGGTCCGTTGGGATCATTTTGTCCACTCAGTTTGGCAGGCTGCACGCTACTGGCCTAGGTCTCAGGCCTATCAAAGGCGAGTCAGGTGTGAAATCGCGAGGGGTGTTTGAGCAAGCGTGGGGTCCAGCCACTGTGCACAGTCAAACATGCCGGCTGCTGCAGTGGGGCACACAGCGCCAGGCACTGGCATAGGTGCTGGCTCTGCGAGGCTGCAGCCAGACCAGGTGCACCACAAGCAGCTTCCACAGCCGGCACTGGGGTACACGGTGGCATCTAGAAGCTTGGAGATGCCAGGAACCGCAAGGCCCCAAAGAGAGTCACAACCCTGGCTCAGGGAGCTCCCAGGTCTGGGCTGCCCAAAGGGCCACAGCTCTTTTTTCCTTCTCTTTGCCAGCAACATGGAGAGCAAGGGGCATGTCTCAGCCCTGTTTGTGTTATAGCTCTTTTAGCCCAGGCATCCAGTGGGTCCTGAGTTCTTGTCCAGCAACCAGGAAGAATGAGGTACACAGACAAGTGGAGCGTGACCAAGACAAAGGGGAGGTTTATTGAGCAGCTCAGAGGAAACCTGCAGGTGGCAGCTCCTTTCCACAGCCAGGGTGTCCTGACAAGTGTCCAGCTCCCAGCAGAGAAGGTAGCTCCTCTCTGCTAGGCAAGTAATCCCAAGTGTTCAGCTATCAACAGAGAGGGTAGCTCCTCTCTACAGCTGACTGCCCTATCGTCTGTGCAGCTCTCATCAGAGGGGAAGCCCTAGAGTGAGTGGCTCCTCTCTGCAGGCAGGTTGTCCCAATATCTGCTTGAGTCTCAGCAGAGAGGAGGCCCAGGAGTGTAGCTCCTCTCTGCAGCTGGTCATCCCAATGTCTGCCCAGCTCTGGCTAAGCCTGGGGCTTGTATGGCCTCCGAGGGGAAGGAAGTATGTGCTGATTCCTCCATGGGCATCCATGAGTGGGCCCCGAAAAGGCAACACAAGTTCTTACTCCAGTCCATAGGACTGGCAGCCTGGCCCCCAGCCTTTAGACCCTCCTTGTCCTGGAGGTGGGGACTCACTGGGACCTGTCCCCTTCTGCCCAGGAGCCTGTCTGCCTTCTGCTGTGGTTCATAGCACCTAGGCTGTTTGTGCCAAGGGGCACCTTCAGGCCAGCAGCAAACTGCCCTCAGCACCCCCTTGGCTTCCTTCCCATGCTTATTGGTGCCCAAAGTCCAGAGGGGGTTGAGGCAGAAGGGGGTTGGCATGTCAGCGCTGACCCAAACATGTACATACCCGGCTGAGCTGTGACAGTGCCCAGGCTTGGCCCCAACTTTGCTCCAAAACTGGGGAGGGTGCCAACAGCAGGGAGAAGCCAGGCAGTGGGAGCAGGCACTTCAGAGCCTGCAAGGGCAAAGGGGGCCTTCCAGGGCTGCCAGGAGTGCAGGGACTCCTGAGTCTGCAGCCACAGTTCAAGCAGCTACAGCTGTGCCCAGCAGGCATGGGGCTCTTGTGGGCTCCAAAGAGAATGCAGCCCTTGCCACACCTCCCTGCTGCAGCCAGTGAGATGGCAATAGCCCCTCCAGATGGCCCATTACAGCCATCAATGGCTCACTGCAACCTCCACCTCCATCTCCTGGGTTCAAGAGATTCTCCTGCCTCAGCCTCCCGAGTAGCTAGGATTACAGGCATGTGCTACCACACCCGGCCAATTTTTGTATTTTTTTTTTTTAGTAGAGACAGGGTTTCACCATGTTGGCCAGGCTACTCTTGAACTCCTGGCTTCAAGTGATCCGCCCACCTCAGCCTCCCAAAGTGCTGAGATTACAGGTGAGAGCCACTGCATCTGGCCTACAAGGTATTTTCTGAAATCCCACCTGATGGTTTGGAGTAAGTCAATGGTTTAGAGTCAGCCTTGGACTATGCCCCTTCTTAGCTCCCAGCATTTATCATGAATAATAACTCAAAGATGGAGCCAGTATCTTCACATGCAGTCATCATTTCACTGTGAAATTTCAAGAGTGAAGCTAAGTTTCACCCGGGAAATGTACTTCAGATTTGATCAACTGATGGTGAAGATTTCCTCATGTAATGAATATAAATCTATTATACACTCCAAACAAGGGCAGGCACATATTATAGGCCAAGCATGTGCCTAGAAAAAAGTCCCTCTTTATAGTACTTTACACTTGACAAAGCAATTTGAAATGCAGTCTCTTGATGACAAGCACCATTGAAATGAAAATATTCTGTGACTGGTCAATTAGGTATAAGCTACTTAGGTTTTCCCCAGAATAAACTCCCAGTTTCTCAACCAATTCAGTACCAAATAATATAAAAGCATAAGAGTTATTATGTTAGACTCTCTTTAATTTATTTTAAATTCCATGCTGATTTGTTTCATCTACCAGACTTAGGCATTTAGTCTTGATTCATAGACTTTTCTGATTTTTCCTTTAACTAGGACAGTATATGCATGAGTTTTATTTAAAAACTACAAATCACTGGCCAGAATATGCCTGCCATTATTATGGTTCCATCTAAGGATAGTTTATTGAAATAGTTTTCAAAAAGAATATAATTTTTTGCATACTTAATATTTTAGCAACACACTCCAGAATTAAATTTTAAGGATGATGGTGCTTATATAGAGTAGGGTAATCTTCAAAGTTTAGAAAATGCAGTAATTTCTGAAAATGCATTTCCTAAGGAGCAGGTCCTTAGTGAAGAAACTAGAAATGCAATAACTATAAGATGAGTGTCAGAGCTGTAAATTAAGATGATGAAAGATATGCAAAAACAGAAAGAAAGTAAATAATTTTGGTAGAGTTAAGCAGAAATTTTCTGGTGATATTTAAAACTGGTTAAGAAGAATTAAAGATTTTTTAAAAGATAGGGTTATATGAGTCAATGTTATTGCCTATAGGGAGGGGAAAAAAACTGCTAGGATAGAAAGACCAACACAGGAAAAAAGGATGTATTTCCATTACTTGAAAGCTAGAAGTAAAATAGAAAATATTTAATATAGTAACTGTGACAATGACTAAAATCAATGTAAAAGATTACGCAAACTTAATGTTGTAACCATGTGTTTAAAAATATATTGGCTACACATATATATTTCACAAACATGTATATGCACACACACACACACAACACACACACACATTTAATCACCCAGTGTATTAGCCTGTACTGACACTGCTAATAAAGATGTACCCAAGACTGGGTAATTTATAAAGGAAAGAGGTTTAATGGACTCACAGTTCCACATGGCTGGGGAAGCCTCATAATCACGGCCAGAAGGGAAAGGAGATGCAAAGACACATCTT